CCTTGCTCCATCTCACATGACCACAGCTTTTGGGATGAAGAGCACAAAAAGCCACTTCAGATCCACTGAAGCTCAGACCTTTACATTGTCCTAATTTGTTTGTATTCCCTTCCACCTGTCGGTAATGTTAATCCCCACAAGTCAGACCAAAAAGTGATGTTATTTCTGTGATAGGGGGTAGTAAAAAGCTAAGATTGTAAAATACTGGGATCGTTTGAATCCCAAACACCCTGTATATGCTATTTCTAGTAGCCTCTGACTGGTCACTCCCAACCAGCCAACTATGCTGTCCCTACCCAGTTGCCAAAAAACTCTAGACACCTCCTTCCTGCCCCTAGTCCTGTTATTCCTCCTTCCCTGTAATGGGCCACAACTGGACTAATGCTCCAAATGAAATTTTTCTGGCTTTGGCCAATGTGTGTTCTCCTACATCATTCCTATCACCTTGTCAGCTTTCCGCCCGACCTTTCCAAAAATTCTTTTACCAGGATAATAGCAGGATACCAACTGGGAACAAGTCCAGGCCATCCTGTTACTACAGGCAACTGTAGACTTCACTTACACTGCCCTGCCTTGCCCAGTGCAGACCCGGACCCTAAAGACCCCAGCTCCAGGGACTTCTTGATGCCTCCAGGCCAGCAGGCAGTAGCTAAAAGTGCCTATGTTGGCCCTGTTAACGATTGTCATGGAAAAGCTGAAGACCTTTACTAACTGTCAAGCAAATGCTTCTTGGAAGGTACCTGGCCAAGCAACAAATCAGAGACCTCTGAATGCTTCTCCCTTTCTTCTGAAGTAGCTTCAGAAGAAATGACCTCCATGCTTACCCCCAGCCTGGAACCCCCTATTTTATTAAACAACAAAGTGGGGAATGTTAGTATTATCCCACCTCTGGGTGGAGCTGAGGACCAAAGGCAGGGATAATACTAACACTCATCACAGCCAAGAAGAGCTTCTGGACCACTTTCTGCCCCAAGAGTTAGACTAGCACAAACCATACAGTTGGGTTTAGGAACATGTTGCGTGCAGTGACATGCTAACCATAAAGTCCACCAATGTCTACCTAGTATGGAACAGAGTCAGTGGAGATCTACGTTCATTATTCTTATCTGCAGGGCGTTCTGTGTAACCATGGGACACAAAGGCATCACAAGTCTGTGTGAGAATCTGCCTGTCTTTCTAAGCACCATGAACCTTCTTGCAAACTATCATTAAATTAGATAATATTCCATGAGAGACAATGTCCGTGTGTGTGTGTGTGTGTGTGTGTGTGTGTGTGTGTGTGTGTGTGTGTGTGTATACTCAAAAAGTTAAAGAAGAACATACAAATGAAGGCCATTAGTATTTTTTTGGGGGTCTGGTCATGGGGCCTGAACTCTGGGCCTGGGCACTGTCCCTCAGCTCTTCAGCTCAAGGCTAGTGCTCTACCACTTGAGCTACAGCGTCCCTTCCGGATTTCTGGTGGTTTACTGGAGATAAGAGTCTCACAGATGTTCCTGCCCAGGCTGGCTTTGAACTGTGATAGTCAGATCTCAGCCTCCTGAGTAGCTAGGATTACATGCATGAGCCACCGGTACCTGGCTTAGAGTAGCTTTTTTAACTTTCCATGCCCACAACACTGAAGCTAGGATGGAAACTGTCTTACATTTAATACTCAACAACAGGTCAAAGGTGATAGTACTGGCATTTTATTATCATAATAAGGAAAAATGCCTTCACACATACATATCAAATGCATTATTCTTACAATGTAGTGGTCAGAACTTGAAAATAAAATGGATTTTAATATCCTGATGATAACTGTATGCAAATATATGCATTCAGTTGATTGCATGTATAATAGAGTTGTAAGAATATTTCTGAGTAATATTGGCCACATCAGTAACATATATTCCCATGGTTCAATGGAAGTGAAAGTACATTTTTATCACTAGGTTAGGAATAAGGATGATTCTGGTAAAGAGATTGAAACATACTAGACATATATTCCCTGATCACGAATGGCATGGCAAGTATGTTTAAAACTTGTACTTTCAACCAGGCAGACAAAATATACAGAATTAATTCAGAGCAAACTATTTGTATGAAGTGCTTTGTAGCACAAAATAAGAGATCAGATTTCTGCTCGTATTTCTCCACATATTCACAAGTGGAGTTACATATCAAAGCAAAATTCCATTGCTTTCCTTCCCACAATCACAGAACTGGAGCCTGGAGATGCTAGTGTACCCCCTAGTCAGCAGGACACTCATTGGGCCCAGCACAGTGTAACGGCCTATAACATGGATTCCAGAAAGGCCCACACTGTCAGTGCAGAAGGAGTAGCAGCAAAGGACTAATAGAAACCAGGCGGGGCTCAGTGACAATTTTGCAGAGCTTTGAGGAGGAGGCATCGTGCACCTCTCCTGTGCCAAAAGGTCCCAGGGCATGACAAGGAGCACTCAGAGCCTCCTACTCCCAACTCCCTACATACTTAGGACTTCCACATCACAATCCCTACCACCCAGAGTGGGGATGCTTTCTCCTTCCTGAACAGTCAATAAATTCCTGGATGACCTTGTGACTTTTGGGAATATTCATCAAGGGAGGTTCTCTTCATTCTTAGGAAATTTGTTCACTTTTCTCACAATCCTTCCACTGGCATATTAGTTAAAGCAATGGAAATTTGACATCAGAATGTCTTGATTTCTATGATATTTAATATTATTTGGTCCTTACATCAGCAAAACACCAGGGACCACTCAAATCATCAATCTATAGACTATGGCTAGCCTAATTTCTTTCTTCAATGCTCATTGAAAGTTAATTTGAAGCTGAGGCACCAGTAGTTCTCATCTACAATCGTTGCTAATTGGGTGTCTGAAAATGTGATTTGGGGTTGAGTCCAGACAAGGCAAAAAGTTCACAAGACTTCTAACAAATATAGCTAGACACAGTAGGGTGCACCTGCCATCTTAGACTATGAGAGAGGGTAAAGTTGGGAAAGTTGCAAGTCCAGGACAGCCTGGGTAGAAAAAACTGTCTCAATGGATCCATCTCACTGGAAAGGTGTTCAGAATTTTTGTACACACTTGTTATCCCTTCTAGGATGGGAAGCCAAAAATAGGCCAATTGCTGTTCAAGGTCAGTGGTAGATTACCTGCTCAGGAAGTATAAAGTCCTGAAATCAAACTCTAGTGCCACCATCCCTGAAAAACAAAAGAAAACCTGAGCAAAAGGACCAAAATGAGAGAAAAAGAAATATAGTGGATTCAACTGAATATTATCACTAAGCAGATAAATTTTGTTTGCCAATAGATTACTGTGCTTATGATTCTGTGCAATGATTTTTCTGTTTTGTTCAAAACAATGATAAACCTCAAATATATAATGTAGAAAATACTTCCCTCCCTATTGTTGCTCTTATCTACATAATTCTATGATAATAATATTTCCTGATGATAAAGAGCATTGGATTAATCCAAATTCCTCCTTGATTAAAACTTGCTTACTATAAGGATGCTTGTCTTAAATTTTGTGTAACACTCTAAATTATTTCTAACACATGAGTTAATATATGTTTATGTATATAATATTTGTCAGATGAGACAAACAGAAGTATTTAGGAAGCCATAATATGAACAAATCTGTGTGTAAGTTTGGACGACAGTGTTTTCTAATGGTAAAAGTCAAGTTCAAATCTAAGTAAAATGGTTTTACTAGATCTTGAAACCTTAATGTGAAGTCAGAGATGAAGATGCAGTTTTGGTTTAGGTGAAGCTTCAGGAATATTAAAGTCTAGTGATTATCTTTGGTAATGTTTACAAATAATGAATACTTGTCTTCCTATTTTCCTTTAATCGTGTAATTTTGGTGCAATCTCTTTTTCTGAGAAGATTATATTGTGTTGTTCTAATTAGTCTCAATCTTCATTTAATCCTGCTACCTGTAGCCTGTGCTGTCTCCAGAAGTCATAAAGGCTTTCTAGCTGGTTCCTTCCTTGAAAGAAGAGCCAGGCTTTAAACCCACTGGAATGCATTGTTATTCTCTGCTTGCTATTTGTGGAGCATAGGAGAGGGCTTTATCAATGGAAGCTGGATGCAGTTGCAGAGGAAGATGTTCACAAACAAGAGGCGTATAGCATCTTTGATTCGGGGACACCAACTCCAAACTCAGCAGCTGTCCGAAAAATGAAGCCAGGTTCAATCCCAAGTGGCTAGAGCTTCATACTATCCTCCAGTGAGGCTGAAGCTAGGGAAGTGCCCTGGACTGAGATGTTAGATACTACTTCTTTTATTTATTTATTATTTATTTTATTTTATTTATTTATTTTATTGTGAAAGTACTGTACAGAGGGTTTACAATTACATGGGCAAGATAATGAATACATTTCTTATCAAGCATTGTAGCCTCCTCCTTTGTTTCCCCTTCCCATCCCTTCCCATCCTCCCCCTGCCCCCCCATCCAATCCTCCCCGTCTCCCCCCTTCCCTGCACCAAAGTTGTAAAGTTCGTTTTCGACATAATGACTTGTACATCTCATTGTTGCAATGGGTCCACCTGTATCCCTATTTAAACGATTTGTTTTTCCCCTTTCCCTCCACAAATTATACCAACAGTTAGATATTACTTCTAACCTAAGGAAATTCTCTCTTTCTGTCACAAAGACCATCCATTGTCATCTTGGGAAAGGAACAAGATTCTGTGTGATTATCATCATTATTATTATTGTGATTAATTTGTGCAAGTTTTAGAGCTTGAAGTAAGGGCTTGTATTGTCTCTTAGTGCTTTTGCTCAAGATGGATACTCTATAACTTGATGGGCAGCTCTATTTCAGCTTTTTTGTTTCTTAATTGGAGATAAGACCCTCATGGACCTTCCTGCCTACACTGGCTTTAGATTTCAGCTTCCTGAGTAGCTAAGATTACACACATAAACCAATGGATTCTTGATTTAATCTTTCCTAAAGCATCTTGGGTTTGGGTTCTGTGAATGGAAGTAGTTTATAGGACAGTGTACAGAACCTGTGGTCCTATCAAGTTCTCTACCTCACTATCACTCACTTCAATGAATGGCAAACACTCTCACCAATTAGTAGTTGCCTAACTTATAGGAATCATAGCAACTTGCCTATGTGATGGTCCCTACACAAAAGCATTTGGCAGTACAGAAAAAATACAATGCAACTTATCTGCCTCAATCCTTTTCCCTTAATAATTGCCTTATCAGACATACATAGGGACATCTTAATTTCACAAATATATAGCAATATTATAAATTGAATCATCTTAGATATTGCCTTGTTAAAATAGTTTTTATGTTTTTCTTTTGGTAGTACTAAGGGTTGAACTGAAGGCCTTGTGTGTGCTCACCTTGCTTGCTTGCTAGGCTGGTGATATGTAACATGAGTTACACCTCTAGAGCTCTTGCTTGGTCTTTTGCTGCTTATTGGGACTTTTCAATAATTGCTCAGACCTCAGGCTCTTCAGTAGCTGGGAATACAGGTAAAAGACAGTGATGTCCAACTAGTATTTCCAAGAATAGATTCCAAGTAGAACCATCTGTGACAGAATTGTTACTGCTCCTGTTTTCCCTCTGTCCATGATAATATGTTGCATAATTAGAATACTAGTGTTTTGGGCTCTTATAAGTAAGGATTATGTGGTGTCATAGCTCTGGAAACTGAAAGTGTGAAATTAATGTCTCTATGTATTTTATCATGCTGAGAGTAATCTAGATGATGTCAATGGCTTCTGGTCAGTTATGACTACTGAAGGATTTATTTATTGAGGAATATATAATTTTTGTATTTGCTTACCTTTAGTCAATATATTGCTCATTAGATCATTTTCACCTATATATAACCCCTCATATTCATATTTATATAACCCCTCACATTCTGTTTATGATATAACTTGATTAAACATATCTGCTTTGATCCCAGAGGTAAAAATAACATTTTATTTTTAAATTTTATTATACTTATTATTTTTTATACCTGTCATGGGGATTAACCTCAGAGCCTTGGCAGATTTTGAGCTCTTTAACTCAAGGCTAGATTGAAGACTTGAGACAAAGATCTATTCCCAGTTTTTTGGTGTTTAATTGGAGATCAGAGTTTCTGTCTTAGTTGGCTTCAAACTATGATTCCCCATATTTCAGCCACCACCTATATAGCTAGAATTATAGTCATGAATCACCAGTGTCTGGCAAGGAATAACACATTAAAGAATATCAATCCCTAGTTGAGATTCATCCTTTCTACCTCATTTTACATTTCAAAATTAGTGGCCATACAGAACTTTCTGTTGTCAACACTCCAGGACAACACCAAAGATCTCAGTTGTATAAGATTTGTCTGCTGACAAATCTGCGGTCCACACACTTCTCTCTGGATTGTGAAGATCAGCACTAAAATAGGATAAGGATTTCATGATATCTTCCAGAACAAGTCTGAACTGCTCAGAGTCAATCAGGCTACACTTTCAAAAGAGCCCTGGATTCTGAAGAAGCTTCAGAAAACCCCATGTTTTACATATCCATTTTCAAGATAATGGATGTAGCATAGATCACAATTGAAGCCTACAAAGACATGAAAACACTGAATCCACTTCTTGATGTTTTAGTCTGAAGAATTTATATTTGTACTGTGATCCCCTACCTGTGGCTGCCCTATACATAGACCAAACTGAGGTTCTCACAGAGAGGTAAAAAACCCTATAGCACCAGATTCTCTATGAAGAGAAAGAAATTCTCTTATAACTATGTTGAGCATTTCTCTAAACACAGAATGTCTCATTCTGTCTCATTTTACTAGAGAAATCAGAAAGAAATTTGTGATTAATCTGGAGTATAGTTAAAGAAATAAGAAAGGATATTTACTACATGCACAAGATTGTAAAAGTTATGATTTGCAATTTTATATTCACACTGTTAGGTGTAAACATTTCTGTTTTCCACTTTCATTAAATAATGTGACTAGCTTACTAATTGGAAGCCACTGTTTTTTGTCCCTTCCCTGTCAATTTCTTTAGACTTGTAAGTTCTTAATGACCTTATTAGGTCCTATGAAAGGAAGATTTCTAACATGTTTTATAACATCCCAAATATTTAACTAGATTGCTATGGATATCAGAGACCTCCTCAACTATTCCAGTACAGGTGTTCAGTTCAGGTGCATAAAATCCTTGAGGATCAATACTAAAATCAATGTGTAGTTTGTCTTTCTCTGGACTGACTGCGAGGAAGCTAAGTTGGATGGCAATTCCCCTCTCATAGATTGTCCTGGACACAAACTTCCATCTGATTGGATCTCTAGTGCTTTAAATTGGCCAGGCCTAATATCATGTCCTTTACACAGATTGAGACATTCCCAGGGAGGTCCTTGTGCCCATTGCTACAAGCAACATAGTCTTTTCTGTATTTCCTTCAAATACAGATGATTTTTAAGTCACTTTGCTCACAAGAAAGGCCCTTCCCTTCCCTATTACTCCTCTCACACTGCTGTACCCACCTGCTGATTTGCATAGTGCTCCTGAAGGAGGACCTTCCCTTCTAAGTCTGAGATAAAGGCTCAGCTCTCACCTTGTCTTCATTGATCAGGACTCTACAGTGTACTCGTAATAATGAGGTGGCCTGCTCAGTTCCTGGGGCTGCTGATGCTCTGGATCCTTGGTAAGGGGAGAGGGAAATGAGGATGGAAAACTGTGAGGGAGGATGAGCCATCAGGACAATTGCATCTCATTTTGTTTCTGTCCATGTGACAGACCTCTAGGTCTCATCCTTTAGGATGGGACAGATGAGGTTTAGCTATCTGAGAGTGAAGAACAATCCAGAAGAAATAAGGTCCTGTGCTATGGTGACAATTATGACAAGTATGGAAGGAGGTGGTGTATGAGAGATCTATAGGATTACTTATTCTTTGAGAAATATGTATATATTTAAAATATTTAATATTTTTGGAATATGAAATGAAACATGAAAATGACTAGCAAGCAATATGTAAAAAAGAATAAGAAAAATTCCTTCAATTTTTATATATAATCTTGATTTTTCTCTCTCATTATTTTAGGAATCAGTGGAGAAGTTATGATGACTGAGAGTCCACTCTCCCTGCCTGTCACCCTGGGAGATCCAGCCTCCATCTTCTGCAACTCTAGTCAGAGCCTCAGAGTGATGGAAACATCTATTTGCATTGGTACCTGCAGAAGCCAGGCCAGTCTCCACAACTCTTGATCTTTTTTTGTTTCCAGCTATGAATTTGGAGTTCCAGACAGTTTCAGTGGCAGATTTCAGACTGACAATCAGCAGGGTGAAGGCTGAGGATTTGGGGGTTTATTACTGCATGCAAGGTTTAGAATTTTTTCCCACAGTGATAGACCCTGAAATGAAAACCTTCCTTTTTGGCTTGGCCCAGCTATCCTAATGCAATGCTTATCTGAAAATCAACACTGAAGGTTCTCTGGACCTATGCAGGGGGAAGAGGATGAGAGACTAGGGAGGATAAGTTGCAAGATGAGACCTTTGACAAGTAGGCACTAAGGTGTTTTCAAGATCTAGTATCAGCCAAGCCCAATATCTATGATTCACAATCACATTTAACTCAATATGAAAAACAAAAGAAAAAACTATATGCAAACTGGCATTTTATGGTCAAACACAAAAATTAATGAACCACGCCCCTTGAAAGACTCCAGATGGATTTACACTACTAAATATTATAGAAGTTATTTAAGGAAACAATAATAGAAAGCCTCCTAAGTCTCAAAAAACATACATATCTTGGTAGAGGAAGGTCAAAGTTCATCCACCAATTTAAAGTGAATTTCGTCTATCTACAGATTATGATATAATATAATCTGTAGATAGATTATATTATAATCTGTAGTTTATCTCACAGGTAAAGTTTAGAAGAACTTTTTCATGGCTAACAGAGGAAATGAATAACCCATTGTTGTGTCCCCTAATTTGACTGAAATTTGTCTTATCAGTTGAAACTTACATGCCAAGAAAGAGTAACATATGATTTCCATAATACTGAAAAAAACAAGTGTTTTCAAAGAACAGAGTTGTACCTAAGCAAAGATTTCCTTTAAAAGAGAGATTTTTTTCTAGATAAAAATTGAGAGAATATCTATCTACCACATGCATTATTCAAGAAATGTAAGAGAAGTTCTTCAAGCTAAAGGAAAGAGACATTACTAGGCAAATAAAAAACATAAAAGGCTAAAATTTCTTGTAAGTAAATTGTAGAAATACATCCCAAAATACCTTATGTTTTAAGAATTGTGTGTAAAACATTCATGTCTTTGCTATGAAGAGATAAACAAAAGGTAAATACCACATCTGTTTGTTAAGCAATAGATAACATTGAAGGATGTAAAAGAAATATTAAAAATCTAAATGTGGAGTGGATTTGTATTGAAGTAAAGAATTTTCTTTTGAGTATATTTCTTATTGTTTATTGTTTGTGTTATCTTAGTGATCATGTCAATCATTATCAATTGAAAATAGCCTATTATATTCCAAATATGTTTTTATAGTCCTCATGCTAAACATAAACATAAAACAAAATCTATATTGGAGAAGCTAAAATATAAGCAAGGAATCAAAACAAACCATAATTGTTTTTGCCAATAAGAAAGATTGTAATTCAGGGAGAAGGGCAGGAAAGAACTGAAACAAATGGGAACTCAAGTTCTATAACTGCTGGAGTAAGGACTTTCCTATAAATCATTGCTTTGAATATAAGTGCATTAACATCTCCCATTTAGAGACATAGAATGATTGAATAAAATCCAAGACTCCACTGTATGTGACTTACAAGAAACTCAGCTCATCGCTAAGAACCCACAGAGACTGAAAGTGAAGGGATGGAATCAGATACTCTATGTGCATGAAAACCAAAGGAAATGTGGAAAAGGCAAACTAATGTCAGATAAACTAGACATTAAAGCAGAAAAAAAGACACAAAGTTTGTTATATAATGATAAAAAGGTCAATTCAATAAGGTCAAATAACAAACTAAAAAATAGTATTGATTCACTGAAACATATAAAACACATGTTAGTGGACACAGTGATCTAGACAGGTTCCAATATAATCTTAGGATTAGCTTGAGATGTAAAAACTGCATTGTCATCAATGGACATATTCAAACAGAAAATCAATGAAGAAAGCTTAGAATTAACTTGCCCCCTAGAACAAATGAACTTCACAGACATCTATAGAACACTGCTTCCCACAGCTGAAGAATATATAGTTTTCATCAGCATATGGAACACTGTCTATGAGATATCACATGATAGGGCTAAAACAAGGCTCAATGAATACTAAGAAATTATGCAACAGTAATACTCACAAGACAATATGCTGGAAATGAACTTTACAACTTGAGGGGTGGGAGGAGGGAACGTGGGAGAAAAATGAGGGAGAAGATAACAAGTTTGACAAGAAATGTACTTACTACCTTACTTATATAACTATAATCCCTTGGTACATCACCTTGACAATAAAATAAAAACTAACCTTTCAAAGAAAGGTTCAGAAACTGTACAGATAAATGGGAAGTCAGCAGTATTTGAATTTCAATGGGTCATGAAATTAAAAACACATAAAAAATGAAAATGGAGACAATAATGCACTGACAGAAAACCATATGAAAAACAAATTTATAAAAATCAATGCCCATATCAACAGTAGAAAGTTCCTAGGTAGGCAACTGATTTTGGCCTTTCAATAACCAGAATAAACAGACAGACCTAAGCATGAAATAAGAAGATAGAAATAATAAATATGAGAAGAAATAAATGAAATGTGGGCTATCCCCAAAAAAGTCCAATGAAGAAAAACATGATTCTTCAAAGGGCAAATAAAATAGATTAACCTTAAAGTAAATTAAGAAAAAAAGAATGACAAGAATCAAGTTAAATAAGCAACAAGATACAATATAACCAACACTACAAAATATAGATCTCTAGACATTACTATGAACAAACATATGACAGTAAATTTGATAATCTGGAAGAAATGAAGAAATTCTTGGAACCACACACTGTATCAAGCCTGAAGAATGAAAAGCTTCACTTAAAAGAAAGCCTCAAACCAGATGGCTTCATTGCTGAAATATGCCAAACATTTAAGAAGGAAACAACTTCAGTTCTCATTTTAAAAAATACAGGAGAAGGAATTATTCAACAGCTATTCTGCAAGGCCAATGTCATCTTGATGCTTAAACCAGTTAAGTTCACAACAAAGTGAATCACAGGCCAATAACTCTGATGAACATAGACATCAAAATCTCAGCAAAAAATGCAAACAATGTTAAACACAATATTTTATTTTATTTTTTTTTTAATTTAATTTTATTTTATTTGAGAACATACTGTACAGAGGGGTTACAATTACATGGGCAGGATAATGCATACATTTCTTACCAGCATTGCAGCCTCCTCCTTTGTTTACCCTTCACCTCCCTTCCCAGCCTCCCCCCTCCCCCCCCACCCAATCCTTCCCCCCTCCCCCCCCCACACCGACATTGTAAAGCTCCTTTTTGACATGACATTTTGTACTTCTCATTGTTGCAACAGGTCCACCTGAATCCTTAAACGACTTGTTTGTCCCCATCTCCTCCACAAGTTATACTGACATCAAATATAGTGAAAGCGGGGGTTACACTGTGGGGGAGGGACACACAAAGCAACAAAGAAATAATCTTATAAATGAGTTAGAAACACATGCATGAAAGAAAAAAAAACATTAAAATACATATTTAAGGGATCGTTTTTCTAACATCACATTATCTGACCTTTTCCGCTTGACTCATACATATACTAGATATTGCATATAAGGGAAACCATGGGACCTATGTTTCTTTGGGCCTGGCTTACTTCACTTAATATAATTTTTTCCAAGCCTTTCCATTTCCTAACAAATGGGGAAATGTCATTCTTTCTGATGGAGGCATAGAATTCCATTGTGTATATATACCACATTTTCTTGACCCATTCATCTACTGAGGGGCATCTGGGTTGGTTCCATATCTTAGCTATGGTAAATAATGCTGCAATAAACATAGTTGTGCTGGTAGCTTTAGTGTGGTCTTTTTTGTAAACATTTGGGTAAATGCCCAAAAGTGGGATTGCTGGGTCATAGGGGAGTTCTATGTGGAGTCTTTTGAGGAACCTCCATACTGCTTTCCAAAGTGGTTGAACAAGTTTACATTCCCACCAACAATGAAGTAAGGTTCCTTTCTGTCCACATCCCCTCCAGCATCTGTTGTTGTTAGAGTTCTTGATTTTTGCCATTCTAACTGGAGTGAGGTGGTATCTCAATGTTGCTTTGATTTGCATTTCTTTTATGGCTAGGGATGTTGAACATTTTTTCATGTGTCTATTGGCCATCCTTCTTTCTTCTTCAGAGAAGTTTCTCTTTAAGTCTTTAGCCCACTTATTTATTGGGCAGTTGTTTATTTGAGGATTTGTTGTTGGGGGGTTTAATTTTTTGAGTTCCAAGTATATTTTAGATATGAGACCCTTGTCTGTTGTATGGCTAGTAAAGATCTTCTCCCAATCCGTGGGCTTTCTATTGATCTTGCTAGCTATGTCATTTGCCCTGCAGAAGCTCTGCAACTTTATGCAATCCCATTTGTCCAACCTTTCTTTGATTTGTTGTGTTTCCGGGTCTCTATTCAAAAAATTTCCGCCTGAGCCAAGGAGACCTAGGGTTTCTCCTATTCCATCCTGCAATGTTTTCAGAGTGTCTGTTTTGAGTTCAAGGTCTTTGATCCATTTGGAGTTGATTCTGGTGCAGGGTGATATATAAGGATCTAGCTTTAGTTTTCTACATGTAGTTAACCAATTTTGCCAGCACCATTTACTGAAGAGGCTGTCTTTCTTCCATTGTATTGTTTTAGCTCCCTTATCGATGATTAGATGGCTATAGGTCTGTAGGTTCATTTCTGGGTTTTCAATTCTACTCCATTGGTCCTGAGGTCTGTTCTTATGCCAATACCAAGCTGTTTTGATTACTATGGCTTTATAGTAGAGTTTGAAATTTGGTATTGATATTCCTCCAGCAGTGTTCTTTCCGTTGAGGAGTGTTTTTGCTATTCGGGGTCTTTTATTGTTCCATATGAATTTTTGGATTGCCTCTTCTATTTCCTTGAAGAATGAGGGTGGAATTTTGATAGGTATTGCATTGAATTTGTAGATAGCCTTGGGAAGTATTGCCATTTTCACGATGTTAATCTTTCCAATCCAGGAGCATGGGAGGTTTTGCCATTTTTTAAGTTCTGTGTTGATTTCCTTTTTCAAGATTTTAAAGTTTTCATCATAGAGGTCCTTCACTTCTTTAGTTAAGTTAATTCCTAGGTATTTTATTTTCTGTGGGGCTATTACAAATGGGGTTGCTTTCCTAATTTCAGCCACACTTTTCTCATTGTTGGCATACAGAAAAGCCATTGATTTTTGGGGGTTAATTTTATAACCTGCTACTTTGCCAAAGTTTTGAATCAGCTTGAGTAATTTAGGAGTGGAGTCTGTGGGATTCTTTAAATACAAGATCATGTCATCTGCAAAGAGGGAGAGTTTTATTTCTTCTTTCCCTATTTGGATCCCCTTTATGTCTGCATCTTGTCTTATTGCTGTAGCTAGGCATTCTAATACTAGATTGAAGAGAAGTGGAGAGAGTGGGCATCCTTGTCTTGTTCCTGAGTTAAGAGGAAATGGCTTTAGTTTTTCACCATTGAGTATAATGCTGGCTGTAGGTTTGTCATATACAGCCTTTATTGTATTGAGGAATGTTCCATGGATTCCTAATTTTTCCAAAACCTTCATCATAAAGTGGTGTTGGATCTTGTCGAATGCTTTTTCTGCATCTATTGAGATAACCGTGTGGTTCTTATTCTTGCTCCTGTTGATGTGATGAATAATATTAATTGATTTGCGTATATTGAACCAGCTTTGCATCCCTGAAATGAATCCTGTTTGATCGTGGTGTATGATTTTTTGGATGAATTGTTGAAGTCGATTGGCCAAAATTTTGTTGAGAAGTTTTGCATCAATATTCATCAAAGAAATGGGTCTATAGTTCTCTTTCTTTGATGAGTCCCTGCCTGGTTTTGGGATGAGGGTTATGATGGCTTCATGGAATGTGTTCGGTAGTGAGCTTTCTTTTTCAATTTCCTTGAAGAGTTGGAGGAGAATTGGTGTGAGCTCTGCTTTGAAGGCCTTGTAAAATTCCGCTGTAAAACCATCTGGTCCTGGACTTTTCTTAGCTGGGAGGTCTCTTATTGCTGTTTCTATTTCAATGCTTGATATGGACCTGTTAAGATAGTTTAACTCATCTTGGTTTAGTTTTGGCATGTCAATATTTGCTAGGAAGAGGTCCATTTCTGCCAAGTTCTCAAACTTATTAGCATAAAGTTTTGAGAAGTATTCCCTTATAATGTTCTAAATCTTGGTTGTTTCCGTGGTGATGTTTCCATTCTCATCTCTGAGTTTATTAATTTGGGTGTGTTCTCTTCTTTTTCTGATAAGATTTGCTAAGGGTCTGTCAATTTTGTTAAGTTTTTCGAAGAACTAACTCTTTGTTTTGTTGATTCTTTCTATAGTTTTTTTGGATTCTAATTCATTTAATTGTGATTTAATTTTAATTATTTCTTTCCATCTACTGGATTGGGGTTTATCTTGCTGCTCTTTTTCAAGGAGGTTTAGATGTCTCATTAAATTGTTAGTTTCAGATCTCTCCAATTTGTTGATGTAGGAGCTCAGAGCTATAAACTTGCCTCTGAGTACTGCCTTTGCTGTGTCCCAGAGGAGCTGATAATTTGTGTGTTCATTTTCGTTGAATAGCATGAACATTTGAATTTCCTTTCTAATCTCTTCCATGACCCACTCATGATTCAGCAGTGTGTTGTTCAGCCTCCAAAACACAATATTTTAAATGGTGAGTTGGGATAGAGTCTAGAGATGCAAAGGTGTTTAAATATGTGCAAATCAATAAACAGGACATACAGTATAAATACAATGAAGG